CAAAGCAAAGTGACTCCTTCACGAACATATCCGACGAAAAAATGCCAATATTTCAAATATTTTTCTGTTGAATGATCGTAAATTGAATTATACAGAAAAAGTCAAAATTGTTGGAGAGATTTTGCTGAGGGGGATTACATACATGTTAAAATTCCTCTAGCGAATTTATTTCATTTAATTTCCCGAGGCATCTGATTTGATGTCATTCAAACAACAGAAAATTAAGGTGTTGAAAGTGTTCATATTATGCTTGACGGTTAATAATTAGTGATTGCTTTATAATCAATATTGTTCAAAACGTCATCCTCAATCGTACACCAATCATGCAACACATTCATTGGTAATCACCATTTGATTTAGAGAATCAAAAAGGGATTTTGATTTGAATCCATTGAAACAATCAGTATTCAAAAAAATCAAGAATGAATTAAACTGCTTGAAGTCATTTCTGGGATAACGAAATGCATAGAAAGTCTGATAATGTTGCATTTTGAATCATTTGGGAATGTGCAATTTTTGGAGTATTTNCGAAATGCATAGAAAGTCTGATAATGTTGCATTTTGAATCATTTGGGAATGTGCAATTTTTGGAGTATTTCTTTTTTTAGCGATCTTTTAACGATTTACAGATTCTGGATTGTGAATTCTAGGAATATTCTTACTTGCTGAAATCTGAATTTATCAACGAGTTCCTCAGTAAACTATCGAAAATCTCTCCATCAACGAAAACATTCGATTTGCAAGATTTCTGCAAATTTCTACTTGCAGAAATGACTTTTTTGAGATATCACATCATTTTTCTTTAAAGTGAACGATGAACAGCAAGGAATCAGAGAAAATAGCTATTTCAATTGAGGAAACGAAAAACAAAAAGCAAATGACAACTCAACAACGAAATGAACATTGCGATTTTGAAATAGTCGATGCTGCACAATTGTTTGTGTTTTAAAGTAATTTCCACTGGTTTCCGCTCGGAAACAATGTAACATCATTTGGTCACGCAAGATTTTGGCTGACGTAATCGATTTGGATAGTCAACAGAAACTTGAACGGAAACAGCAACTCCGGATATACTGAAAGGCATTTTCATGCAATGCAGTCGCTGCAATTCATTCATTCAGCTAGCTGCAAAGCGTTAAATCTGTTTTTGATCGTCACTGACATTTTTGAAGGATTCGTTCAGTAGGATACCATCTACCCTTCAACAAAATAAAATGTATGAAACAAAAATTATTCATCCAGACTAGTGTTGGGAACTGCAAAATTTTTTGCGCAGGCCCCCTACCGCAGGCTCTGTCGGGGACCCACGACAGACAAACTTTCAGTACCGGTCGGTTGTCGATCGATGGTAATCGCAGTTCAGTTTGCCGAGGTCCCCGACCGAACGAGCCCTTACGCTGTGAGGCCCCCGAATTTCTGGGGTCTCCAACCGAACTCTAATCCAAATGCTCGAATTTGGAATCTCGAACAAGCTGATGGAGAAGACAAAATGGATCAAATGATTTTTTCATGGTAGAAAGCGCCTAGCGAATTTATTTCATTTAATTTTCCGAGGCATCTAATTTTATGTCAATCAACATACACAACAGAAAATTAACGTGTTGAAAAGCGTTCACATTATCTAAAGAATCATCACTTCGAAAATGAATTAAATTGCCCGAAATCATTTCCGATGAGAGCGAAATGAGGTGACCCAAAACAAAATGAAAGTGTAAATACAACGAAACTAACAAATAAACATAAAGTTTTATTTTTCAGTAATATATTTCTGAATACGATCGTCTGTTCATTTCAATTCAACACATCAATTTTATCATCGGGATAATCACTGAAAAAGGCTGATTCCAATTGAAGATGCACATTTCAAGAGCATAAAATATATGCAACAGTCATTATTAGCAACTGGTAAAATCAAGTAATAGTTGATCCATTATCACCAATTGGTAAAAATCAACACTTCAATGGAATCGTTCCGGTAGACCGATGTGCTCAGAATGATTCGCGAATAATAGCTTTTAACTTTCGCGAATAATATTATAGTATTTTCACACCGTATTCGATTTTTATCAATCTTTCATCTATGAATTCAGCGAGATCTGCACTCAGATTCTCGCTTCATCTGCTTGTCAGCGACGCCTGTTTAAAATTTGACGCCTTTAAAACTGTATGATACAAGTAGAAATTTACAAAAAAAAGGATACACAGTAATATATCATTTGAAAAACTGTCATGGCAAAAATGCTCAACTAAACACAACAAAAATATCACTGGAAGTGGCACTAATATGGCCATCTTGAAAGTTTTCTACAACGACAAATAGGCACATATGAATGTAGGATAATCCAGGATTCATTAAGAAATATAACAAGAGAGATAAATGATCAACGAGCTCTATCACTGCGCACAAATAAATTCATTCAGAAGTACTGTTACTGTTGAATCGACGCCTTTGCAAGCTATTGTCAGAACCGAAATTGCGCTCAAGTGAAACTTATCATTAGTGAGCTCTACTTCAGGTTTGTACAAAATCGAGAACGTATGGGAATGTCACCTCTCGTGATGTCGCGTGTCTATCCCATTGAGATATGACCGAGATCAGTCCACGGTATGGAGCGCATAGCTGCCGTGTCTCATAATGTAAGTAAGTCTAACAATAAGTCATTAACAAATCTATGTACATGAGCAAAATGACACGAGTAATTCGCATTGCTCTATGCAATGACCCCGCAAATAATAACATGAAATTACTGGCCCATTGAAATGCTTGTGGTGCATGGAATTACGGCGGCGCCAAAGTCATTTCAAACTGCAAAGTCATCCCGGTTATCTCAACCGTATACATATATTAAATATTTGCCACCTAAAGTCAATAAACTATTGTTTGAAGTCATTCACACCATATTCGATCACGTTCTCTATTCAAAGTAGCATAGTTATCAGTTTTGGTATTATGAATACAATTGTTTGTACAAAATCACATGAAATAACCGTATATAAAATGAGAGGAGCTTGAGATAGAATGGAGCGGGTTTTAAGGGACAATCGTTGTAGCCTTGAATGACATCGAGATATTGCGTTTGGCTCGTTCCCGATTGAGATCACGGAAGTAGTTAAAACACCTCTTTACAACCCACATCCACCACATTGTGATCGCTATCGAGACGAATAATGTTCCCAGTGCGAACGCGGCCGTGACTTGAACCACTGAAATTGCTTCTGCCGATGAACGTAACCGAGTAGAAATTTCAGCAACAACGAAATTGGACAATAAACTCAGAAGTGTCATCATCTCAAAACAACAATAAACCTCAGGCTAAGACTTCCATCTAGACTAAAGATTCGCTCCAGACTTACGCTTGTAATACTGCTCAAGCAACGGAAACTTATCCGTTCAGTAGTATTAGGCACTTTCCTGACCCACATTTTAACACTTTTTGAGGCTCCTATTCGCTCTCGCCTGGTGATCATCTATGACCATCTTCATAATTTTGCAGCTTTATTTGACTATACTCCCCCGTTTTTTCGACAGCTCCGAAATCACCAATGGGACAAGTTTCTCTTCAAGAACCCTGTTTGATAAGATTTTGGTGTGTAGAAATTGACAAGAAAACGGAAAACTCACGCAGTGATTCACTCTTCTCAGATCCAAACGCAGCCAATTTGTCTTCAGCATTTTCGCTCGACATAACCACTTGATCGTGAACCATTCTGCCCGCGAATGAATCCGCATCGATCAACGCGATCACCATCAGAATTACGCCTATTCCACTCACCAACAAACCAATCAACTGAATTCATTCAAATATTCACCACTTCATGAATTCATAATAGTGATTATCCAATTAGTCATTCACTGCTCAGAATTATCACAATATCTTTCAACTCCTTAAAAAAAGTGATACGACGTTTCCGCACCGCTGATTTTCGCTCAAAACTAGTCTTACGCATTTTCTTCGCTTTCTGGCGGCTCACGTCTCGGATAGTGCGAAATCGTTGAGATATTAATCAAATGTAAGGCACGGAGCTTCGATTTTTTACGATATTCAGAGGGTTCATGTTCAATGCAAAAGGGAATTCCAGTCAAGTGAGCCTAAATTCCTGCTGCATTTTCACCGCAAAATGTTGGGTGCGATTCCAATGCCGTTTAATTCTCGAAAAATCGCGCATATTAATGCGGGTTTCAAATGTTCGAAATTCAAAGCGTTGGAACGTGAACAAAATACTGCCAAGACAAATCACTGACCTGAAACAAGAGGAACGGTATCAAAAGTAATTCGTTTTCTGAGCAAAGGGCTTTGAAGACCAACGCCAAAGCGACCAGTTCAAGGATGAGAACGATTATTTCAATGATCTCTTGCGATAATGGTTCAGAGCTTCCAAGTAATTTGGATATGAAGATGAACGCAATCAGTATCGAATAGAGGACAGCGATCACTAACGTTCCTTGCTGAAATAACAACGAAACGTTAAACATTTGTTGTTGAATGGGAAGTTTGAAATATTCATTGCCTCATCTTCGACGTTTCATCTTTTGATTTGCATGAATTATGGATCAGAATAAATTCCGATGAACTCTACTGAAATCTACTGGAGAATGCAGTTTTGACATTGAAATGAGAACTTGACGGAAACAACTGGAGATGGTTCGTTCACCTTTACATGCATGGATCCACAGCAGCATCTGTATTCTGGTAAATAATGTCGAAACGGCGTTCGATCGGTTACCACATCCATATTTGGCCTGAACTCAAGCACATTGTTAATATTGCACTATACGAAAAATCGGTTCATAGTCACGTCGCTATCATATGTAATCTGATATACATTACGTAAACTGACAATCAGCAAATGATTAACGATTCGTCGCTATTTCAGCGAAGAACGTTAGTTGCATTTCATCTCTGCTCTCGGTTTCTTGTGCCGGTGCTCTTCAATTACACTACAGAATGCTTTGAAAAGTGAAACTTTGGGACAGATCAAACAGGGAAATTCATAAATGGAATTCTGATTGATGACATTTGAAAGGAGACAAACGAAAATCTCGGAACAATTTGAAGCAGAACTGGCATAAAGTTATAGTTTTTGAACGAATAAGAACAGTTTGTGGTGATGCCATGATTAGAACATCACGGCTGAAAAATGAGAGCGCACAATAGCATAACATAATAACATCATTCTTATTCTGTTATCGTAGCGTTCAGTTGGAAACTCTTTACGTCATGAAATAGCAATTATTCTATTCGGTGTTGATATATTGAACCGAATTTGCCTCATTAAATTTTCACCGATATATCTACGCAGTTTCAACATCAGTAACGCCGATTATAACACCAAAGTTATATGAAATCAATTAGCGACGGTAATCAAACAAATCTCTATCCATATAATAACACAACCAGCTGATACGTACTCCATTGATGTGGATCCGACTGCTCCCAATAATC